CGGTCCCGGGAATGCTGTGCCCCCGGCCTTGGGCGCTGCGCGGGCGCGGACTCCCCATCGGTACCACCATTGCGGCCCCCACTGTCATCATCTCCTTGGGCAGCCATGTGTGTAGCGTTTGACAAAGACCAAAGAAGTCACAGCATATTTTCGATACTTCTTTTCTCTTGACATTGCTTCCCTCTGCCCCCAAAGAAACAAATCTGTGGGCTGCAAACTTATTTCTGCGCCCTCCACTCAGGTCGTGCATGTGGCAGTTCTCGCATCCTGGCAGGTTCTCCGCGGCCTGGCGTGCGGGGAGCAGCAGTTCCAGCGCTGAAGGAGCGATGCCAGCAAAAGCAGGGATGGAGTTGTCTCGCTGTTAGCAGCTGTTACTATCCCGGCCCAAATGCCATGCAGGTAGAAGACAAACAGCCATTAGGACAGGGCAAACAATTTGCTGAGGCTGCTCAAGAGAGCAAAAAGTTTTGGTATGTGGGCTGCTCAGCTACATTGGTTCCATTAGCAAGTGCACAGCCCTTCAAAACCGATCTTAGGAGATGATAAGGCATTGACTTTTTACCAAGATACAGTACTGAGAGAGACAGTTTTCCTGGTTTACTTAAACTTGGGTCTACATCTCCTACATTTAATTTCATTATAAACAGTTCAGGACTACATACTGCAGCTTTTTATGTGGCATAGCTTACAAACAGTAATCTGCAGTACACCTGTCTTGTGGTGCATGAGAGCAGAGGACCCATTGTCATCTCCTACTTGTTGGCAGTAGGTTGGCAGTCACCTGCTGTGGAAGGCAGCCGGGAGCAGACAGACATTCTGTGCCTTCTGCATGCCCAGCACAGCACTGCCTCAAGTTCTGGGCCAAAGGGGGTGCTCGTTTGGTTCTAGAGGAAGCAGTATGCCACATACGAACATCACACATATTCATAGATTTCCTCTTTTACCAGATTTTGAGGAAGGTCTAACAATTTGCTCATCTGAAACTTAATCTTCCCGAAGAACAAAACAGATTAAAATTTTGACTCTTTATGAGACACCAATAGTAGTAATGCAGTAATACCTGTATTTCTACAATGTAAAAAACAACTCATTACTGAGTTGTTGTGATTTCTCTTCATCTAAAATAAACCCCACAATAGTTATCATATGTCACAATGCAACACTTTGAAATGCTATTTTGCCAGCCTGTCTTTTGAAATCATTTGCATTCCTTTAAATACACATATTGTGAAATATCTGTGTACAAGTTTCAGAGCAAGATGTAAAACCATTCCAGAACGCCTTTGGTTGGGGAAAATCCCAGAAGAGATGGCAGTGGCTGGGGTGGTCCCAACACTCACTGCTGTGCAGATGAGGTGTGAATCCCAAAGGAYCTGCCAGGCCTCTGTCCCTGTGGCCTCAGATCCTGCTCCCTCTGACAGCTGCACTGCAGCATCCATGGGCTGGGTTTGAAATGGCATCTTGGGCAAATTAACGCACAAGAAATGCATAAACCCCAAAACCATCAGTTCTCTTCTGACAGCATGCTCACTGTGTAGAGTTAATGCATCTGTCTCAAGCAAATTCATTCACAATTATATTTTCTTCACTACCCAGGTAAAGGAAAATCCCAGCACCATCTCATCTAAATTGATCTTACCTGTTCAGATGGCTTTCATTTCCAACAAAAACATTTGATTTCCAGCTGGAATCAATATGTAAAGCTAAGCCTTTTACTATACCTCCCAGAAATTATCTGTAAAGATACAGCCAAAGAAGAAAAGTATAAACAAATTTGATGGRGGTTTTTGTTGCTGTGCATGTCATAATTAGCTGCCAAAACAGGCTGCCCAGAAAAGCTGTGGGAATTCTATCCTGGAGACACTGGAAACTTGTCTGGCCCTGGCCAAACTCACCTATGCGGCTCCCGCTCTGTGTTGGGGCTGACCCGACAACCTCAAGGAGGTTCCATCCAAGCTAAATTACTCTCCTAACCAGAAAGTTTTCCTYTGCTGGAGCTGCCATGCTCCCTAGCTGAGACATGGCTTGGATAGAAGGAATGAAGTCCAGCCAAGCAGAACACCAGCAACAAAATCCCCGTTAAAATTCTGCATGGGCACCACAGCTTGACTGCCCTGACCTTACTGATGCAATCAGGAGGGGAGCTGTGCCACTGGCACATGCAYGCCTGAAGCAAAGGGCACGCATTTGAAGTCTGGGACAGGAAATCTGCCCCATTGAAAACCACTGAAAAGATTCAAAACAGCTTGCAGCTGAATTCTGGGCTTTTCTGCAAGAAAAATTAATTGCAACCATTTYAAGCTGAGCAAACCAGTTTACCTTCACTCTTATCTTCAGAGCTTCAGATTTTCTACCTGTTCTAATGGGAAATCAGATTCCTTCTGTTTWCATGTGCCTGTGATTGTCTGAACTATTTTCCTAAGGAAAACCTATGTTACCTAAGTAACTCACTGCACTTAGAGTAACAGCTTGTAACTTTTAGCAAGTTCCTCTAATTTAGGAGGCTTTTTTGAAAATATTTCATACTTGGATATTTCAGCAATTAAAACAATGTTAGCAGAAAGTAAGTACTGGCCAGAGTATGGACCAAATCCTGCAAAGAACTGGAGTACTGGCATTTGGTGTGCAGTACTTACTGCATTCTCCCATGAGTATTAGCTATGGAAACAAAAGAAAATTCAACACCATTGTGTTTTCCATGCTGCTTCACACAGTATTTCCTTCGTGTTCTGTATGGTTTTAAATGTTAGTTTAAGCATTTAGATTATTCCTCTATGCAATAGGCACACAGGAAATGGCTTGGTGAAAAGCTGCCAATAGTTCAGTCTATAAACACAGTTTGATCTGTATCTTAGAAAATTGTTTCCATTCCAAACTGTGGTTACAAAGCACTTTTTCTTGTTGGCAGCTGGATTTTTTTTAAATCCCTATGCATCCTGTATTTGCCCAACAGAGTTGGCATTGATCACACAAAAAAAYCCTGCAGATAAAGTAACATTAAGGATCTGGCTGGAACTAACTTGAGCCAGTGGRGTAAGAGTCAAAGCTGAGCTTTTGTTTTCAGCTCAGCCTGTTTTGTTCAGGAGCTGCAAAGCTCCTGTGTTGAATGTGAGTCCTTTCACTTGGCCTTCTACAAAAAGTAAAAGCTACTTTAAGAGGATGGGACTGGAGTTTGCATTCACTCGAAGAGGCTTCTTATTAGAAGACTGGCAAATATATAGGACCAGTTAAATGGTGTAACTTTTAACTAAGAGAAAACAATATTCTTCGGATGCTACAAAGAAATGTTTTTTAAAGTTTTTTTTTTTTTTCATTAATAGATTGAGATTTTGCCAATTACTTAATTTTTGCTGAGTTCATAATGTGAGAACGGTAAATAACTGAACAGACAAAAAGTCCAACTTTGGTTCGAAAAAAATGTATTGATCAGAAGGATATCCCTGGTGAAGATGCTGATGCATAGGTGGCAATGTTTGGGCACTGATACAGTAGAATAATGAAATTATGTAGCTAACTATTTCCTAATAAAAGGCTGAACAATAACCTCTCCAGCCTTGSTGACAGCATCAGAGAGAAGCTCTGCCTCAGCAGATAGGTTGAAGAAGTTGTGCTTTCCTAAGTACACAGGTTTTCATTTCTGTACACTCTTGGGGGCTGCTTTTGAACTGCTCTGGTCTGACTTCAGAAAATTCCATCCCTCATAGCGTACAAGATCTCCTCAGATATATCTGAAATAATAATTTCTTATTAATTTAGGATGTACATGTGGAAAGATGTACTTTATTTTCCTTCAGTAGGATTCATTTGTGTGAGTAAAACTAAAAGTGTCTGGAAACATGAATGAGTCTCCTTTTCATTAAAGCTTAACAAATCAGTATCTTTCTTCTCTCAAGACCTGTCGCAGACAGAGGGATAAAGTGACAACTATATGACTAAAGTGGAGCTGATGACAGCTGGGAACTGGAAGCATTTGAATGCCCCAATAAAATCTATGAGCACTCTTTTTATTGAAAGCGTCTGCCTTCCTGACATCAAAATGGACTGAAATAAGAGTCCCATGAAACTCTATCAGGCAGCTAATAGCTGTGTGTCTTATCTCCAGTCTGCCAAATGACTGATTTCTCTCAGATGCAGACACCACTACAGTCATCCATACCTTTGTTACCCCCACACCCTATTTTGAACTGGCCAGCCAATGCACCCCAGAGGCCCAGAATACAGCTGCTTATCTTAGGAAGAGAAACCAATGGGAGAATAAAACATTTATATTCTAAACCTGAGGAGGCTGATAGACAACAGGCTGGACAAAGCTGAAGGTGTTCATTACCAAAATGGTTCCACCATCTGCTCCCTGGTTGAAAATATTTGCAGTTGGAGTTGCCCTTTTTAAAAGCAGATTT